ATTCTCTCCTGATATACTCTGCACTGCTGGAGGTCTCTGCTCCTTTCTCTATCTAATTCTCTCCTGATATACTCTGCACTGCTGGAGGTCTCTGCTCCTTTCTCTATCTAATTCTCTCCTGATATACTCTGCACTGCTGGAGGTCTCTGCTCCTTTCTCTATCTAATTCTCTCCTGATATACTCTGCACTACTGGAGGTCTCTGCTCCTTTCTCTATCTAATTCTCTCCTGATATACTCTGCACTGCTGGAGGTCTCTGCTCCTTTCTCTATCTAATTCTCCTCCCCTGAAATACTCTGCACTGCTGGAGGTCTCTGCTCCTTTCTCTATCTAATTCTCCTCCCCTGAAATACTCTGCACTACTGGAGAACTCTGCTCCTTTCTCTATCTAACTCTCCTCTCCTGATATACTCTGCTCTGCTGGAGGACTCTGCTCCTTTCTCTAACTCTCCTCTCCTGATATACTCTGCTCTGCTGGAGGACTCTGCTCCTTTCTCTAACTCTCCTCTCCTGATATACTCTGCTCTGCTGGAGGACTCTGCTCCTTTCTCTAACTCTCCTCTCCTGATATACTCTGCACTACTGGAGGGCTCTGCTCCTTTCTCTATCTAACTCTCCTCTCCTGATATACTCTGCACTACTAGAGGTCTCTGCTCCTTTCTCTAACTCTCCTCGCCTGATATACTCTGCACTGCTGGAGGACTCTGCTCCTTCCTCTATCTAACTCTCCTCTCCTGATATACTCTGCTCTCCTGGAGGGCTCTGCTCCTTTCTCTATCTAACTCTCCTCTCCTGATATACTCTGCTCTCCTGGAGGGCTCTGCTCCTTTCTCTATCTAACTCTCCTCTCCTGATATACTCTGCTCTCCTGGAGGGCTCTGCTCCTTTCTCTATCTAACTCTCCTCTCCTGATATACTCTGCTCTCCTGGAGGGCTCTGCTCCTTTCTCTATCTAACTCTCCTCTCCTGATATACTCTGCTCTCCTGGAGGGCTCTGCTCCTTTCTCTATCTAACTCTCCTCTCCTGATATACTCTGCTCTCCTGGAGGGCTCTGCTCCTTTCTCTATCTAACTCTCCTCTCCTGATATACTCTGCTCTCCTGGAGGGCTCTGCTCCTTTCTCTATCTAACTCTCCTCTCCTGATATACTCTGCTCTCCTGGAGGGCTCTGCTCCTTTCTCTATCTAACTCTCCTCTCCTGATATACTCTGCTCTCCTGGAGGGCTCTGCTCCTTTCTCTATCTAACTCTCCTCTCCTGATATACTCTGCTCTCCTGGAGGGCTCTGCTCCTTTCTCTATCTAACTCTCCTCTCCTGATATACTCTGCTCTCCTGGAGGGCTCTGCTCCTTTCTCTATCTAACTCTCCTCTCCTGATATACTCTGCTCTCCTGGAGGGCTCTGCTCCTTTCTCTATCTAACTCTCCTCTCCTGATATACTCTGCTCTGCTGGAGGACTCTGCTCCTTTCTCTCTCTAACTCTCCTCCTGATATACTCTGCATTGCTGGATGACTCTGCTCCTTCTGCTATCTAGTGCTGATGACCAGCCGCTAGGTCCTCACTTTACCATGTTCATAAATTGACGGGTCTCTGTGTCCCTCAGGAGCTGCTGTACATATTCCTCTGTGTGCTGCTATAGATGTGTGCCTTCAATAAAACAATTCTCTGAAATGAGAGTAACGATGGGTCTCTTTCTCTTCAGGGTAACAAACCAGTGATGGTGATGGAGTACTGGACAGGGTGGTTTGACCACTGGGGAGGGGATCACCATGTTTTTGACGTTGACCGTGAGTAGTTTCCCTTGCTGGCTTGGGATGGGTTTCGTCTTCTGCTCCAATAAGTGGAATGCAGCTTCTTTATTTCCCCCCCAGAGATGGTTTCTACTGTATCTGACGTCCTGACAAAGGAAGCCTCCATTAACCTGTATATGTTCCATGGCGGCACTAACTTCGGGTTCATGGGCGGCGCTCTGCACTTCCACGAGTATCTCTCAGATGTCACCAGTTATGGTAAGTTCATTCTCTCTATGTCTACGCAATGTGAATTCTCCTGTTAATGAATTCAGACTATAGGAGTAGTAGAGGGTCAGGTTTACATCACTACCCAATATTGATAGTTCAGTGTCACGTGAATATTGTCATGTTGAATGGCATACTTTCTTCCTGTATCTCTGTGGGGTTCCGTTGGCAAGATTTCATCTCCAGAATTCCAAGTTCTGGCTCTTTTAGGAGGCAAATGACGGCAACAAAACACCTCAGTGGATTCTACATAATGTAATATTTAGGCCCCATTCACACTGAGCGATTTATCGAGCGATTTTTGCAGCGATATCGCTCATATTTCCACGCGATATCGCTCTATGTAGCTTCTCCAATCCATTTCAATGGAGCTGTTCAAATCTCGCCGCTCAATTTCGCTTGTAGCTTGTTGCTCCTACATGACCCTTTTTTCTGCGGATTTCGAGCAATTTTGCTCCTGATTGCATACAGACCAATAGGAAAAAGTCGCGCAACGTAGCGCGACAAGTTGCGCAATATCGCACATATAAAATTGCGTGAAAAATTGCGCGATTTTCATGTCGCTCAGTGTGAATGGGGCCTAAAGCAAACCTCTAGAGTGAAATATAGAGGTTGCCATAACGGAACTCCCCTTCTAGTTACTTTGCTGTCCTGGTGATCCAGAGCCTTTAACACTTTGAGCCACTGAATACAAACATATATGAATGATACACATGAAACACACGCAGTGACCGGCCATGGGTGCACAGCCTCTCCGAGATCCACCTTCTGCCCTTCAGACATATAAACACATAAGCCACACGCTGCTGTGTTTTTGTGCTGAACCGCAACAAGCTTTATTGGTGCCAGATCACATCATTCTTTTACCCATTGGACAGGACTCTGCACCCAGACGCGTTTCACCCAATGATCTTATTATTATGAAGTGGTTGAGCCAAGGAGGGTGGGAACCTATATCCTGCACCCCAGCTCCCACAATACAATGCAGTTAAAGCTGCAGTGTTAGAGTGACTGTTACTGGTCCATGACTTTGATTCGTGTCACATGCAAATTTAAAGTCATAGTGAAATCGGAGTTCCTCATCTGCATACATTTTCTAGGTCAGTGACCTGAGAAAGTAGTAGTGTTTAGGTGACGTCCTCTCATACTTTACAATGAGGTAGTCCTGGTAGTGATGTATTATTATTGTATTGTCCTCTTATGTGTGCGGTTTGTATGAGATCTTTTTGCCTTTTGTAGATTATGATGCTCCGCTGACTGAGGCCGGGGATTACACAACCAAATATTTCAAACTGCGAGAAGTATTCAGCAAGCACTATGGTGATTTTCTTCGTTATAAATGTTATATATATTTTATGACGGGCATGTGACCTCATTTCCATGTGAAGGGGGATCAGAGAAATGCTCCATACAAATTACATCTGGTGCCTAACTTTTGAGGTTTTCTCTAGTTGTTGTCAATGGAACTGGCTCCTAAAAAGAATCTTGCTGGCTCCTGGATTGGACAGACTGGCTCCTGAATGTCATATTCATTTGTACATCCCTGAAGGGCAGTAGTAAAGGGTCCAAGGTCACCCAGATTCAGGGGCCCAATTATCCACTCATTTAGGGTAACCCTAGGGAGTGGGGAGTGAGCACTTATGGACTATCAGAAGTGCTCATTATCACACAACTTATTGAACAATTTTGTGCGTCAGGGCAAGGAATGTTTTGGCCAAATCAGCATATTTATGACAATGGTCATTTAAGGTTTATATTAGGATAGGTGTGTGAGATACCACTGGACCTTGATGGGGAGAGCACTCAACTCACAGAAGAGAGGAATGATTGGCCCAGGCAATGGTCATCTCATGTCTATGTCGGGTTAGATGTGTGAGGTACCATTGGACCTTGTGGGGGAGAGCACTCAACTCACAGAAGAACTCAGGAATGATTGGCCCAGGCAATGGTCATCTCATGTGTATGTTGGGGTAGGTGTGGTACTACTGGACCTTGATGGGGAGAGCCCTCAACTCATGGAAGAACATAGGAATGATTGGCCCAGGCAATGGTCATCTCATGATTATGTCAGGTTAGGTGCGAATGGTACTCCTGGACCTTGTGGAGGAGAGCCCTCAACTCATGGAAGAAGTCAGGAGCGATTGACCCTTCAAAGTAGCGTGTGATGGAAGGTTTGAGTGATGTAGAGCTACGGTTCGATTCTTTGTTGCATTCCAGACTTGTGCAACTTTGTACGCACAGTCAATGTAAGATTTTTTTATATGGTGCTCCTCACTCACTGTTACCACCATCTCATGTCAATCAATAGTCTCCCTAACACAGATATAGAATCCATTTCACTGTCATATGTGTTTGATTCTACAGCGGAGCCACTACTACCCCCACCCTCCCTGCTGCCAAAAGGAGCTTACGGTGCCGTAACACTGAAGCGGAGCGTGTCACTGTGGGACATCCTGCATCTGACAGGAGAGGTAAGCGGGGAGGAGGGGATATTTTCTTACCTGCTTGGTTTATACCAGACCTGAAGTCAGCAGTTTTCTGGTTCATTTAGATTGGCGTACACGTCCGTACAGTGTGCACGCCCATAAAAAGACCCGATCCCGGAAGCGCCAGGTGCTGGTTGTAATTGCGTCCAATAACACGTGGTCACACGCACACCTGAACCTGCACATCCGTATGTCCATCTGAATGAGCCCTTATGGTTTGACCCGCATAGTTTCAAAAGGGGCATCACTAAAGCATTATGTTCATTTTGTAGACCAGACAATGAAATCTAGTGAATTGTATTCTCTATAATATTCATTAGGTTTATACATTGGCTGTCTCATCGACAACCAATAGAATACTTTAATAGCTAACCCATGTAAAAAAAAAAATGCCTGCCATTTGTTAAAGGAGAACTATGGGGTTAAGGCTTTTCCCCATAGCTCTCCTTAGGGTAACGGGAGGACACAAACTAGCGTCCTCCTGTCACCCTAGGCTCAGTATACCGTGAGCTGTAGCATCGATGTCGAGATCCGCCCAGCTGCGTGAGTGACAGCTGGCTCTGCCTATCTAGAGGCAGAGCCAGCTGTACCCTCCCCCGTCCGTTCCGCCAGTCAGCGCTGGCGGGGAGGGGGGAATCCAGCCCCTCCCCTGTCACGGCAGAGAGCTGTGACAGGATCGAGAAGTGGGCGAACGCCGGTATGTGTTCGCTCACCTCCCGATCTACTGAGCCAACCTGTGACAATGAGACTGTCAGAACTATGAGGTGAGTGAAAAGCACTCACCTCATAGTTCTCCTTTAAAGGAAGAACAACAATCAGTAACAAATATACAAAGTAGACAATTGTTTCCGCCTGGTCTGTGCTGGTTTTGGATTAATCAGTTTACTGTAATCAATGTAGTGAAATATAATCAACAATGATGACCCTGGTGGCCATGATAGACCCTCATGTGGTGATACCCCCCAACCAAACTCAAAGCCCCAATTTTTCTGGGTTTTGAGCACCTTTGAATAGTTGGATCTTTGAAACTTGTGCCCCGGATGAACCCCTGATATTCTGTTTCACTTTCATCCTTGGCTCTCTGTCTGCAGCCATTCAAGTCAGAGGTTCCAGTAAACATGGAGAACTTGCCGGTGAACAATGGAAACGGACAGTCCTACGGCTACATTTTATATGAGGCGGTGATATATGGAGGAGGAAAGTTCCAGACCAAAGGACATGTCAGGGACCGAGCACAGGTACCGTCTCAGTTGCTGTACTCCTTTGTTATCGGATACATATAATGTGTGAGTAGAGACACAGTGTGATTATGTGTCTATTACAGGTCTTCGTGAGCAGTCAGTTAGTGGGATTCGTAGACTATAAGAACCAGGAGCTGGACATTGCAGAGGTCCCTGTAAGTAACCAGCACATTTCATATGCCCACATATTCCTCAGATGATTTCTAGGTGGAGTAAGATACAGGAAGTGAATGCGACATCGCCACTAGTGACCAATCAAATCCCTTTGTCCTACAGAGCAGTTTAGAGTCCTGGTAGCCATTGATTAATGTGGAAAGTTTGGACCCTGCATTGACGAACTCAAGTTATTAAAGATCAGAACACACAAGGTTCCATCTTCAAGCGTTGTACAATACATATAGTGCCTGATGAGAGGACTCAACGGGTCACAAAATCCGGCATCTTTGATAAATAAAAGTGGACGTCCAGCCAAAATCTTTCTTCTTGGTTTTGGATAAAATAAGGAAGGGTTGTAACTCCTGAGAAGGTTTCCTGCCATCCTGGGCTCCATCACAGAGACTTTCTTTAGCAGAGCAGTGAAAAGCTTAACCCCCTGTCACATTTTCATAGGTGTCCCTGTTGCAGCTTTTCCCTCTACTCCTGTCTGGTAAAACATTGTCAACAGGACAGGAAGCGGAGTGACATCTCTCTAATGGAGCCCTGAATGTCACTAAGAATCCGATAGGTGTTATTATTGTTATTATACAGGATTTATATAGCGCCGGCAGACATTACAATCACAATACCATTCAAGACAAGATGGTAAGGAGGGCCCTGCCCCTGAGGGCTTACAATCTAAAAGCTATAGTCCTTCCTTACTCTATCCAAAACTTAAAAAACATGTTGTTACCTGAACTTACAATTTAATTGAGCCAATAAAGGTTATTTATTAAAGAGACCCTGTCACCAGACCATTTATTTCAGCAACATTTCCCATGAAGTGATATGTGCATTTAACATTTGTGTAAAAGCCTCCTTTGTTTCAACATCCAAAACCCCCGAGACTGCTGCTGGGCACCGCCATCTTGAATGTGATGTGAGCTGCCCTAGCAGTGTGAACTGACACTCGAGTGACTCTATAATACTTCCTTTCACGTCACCCTTGGCAGCTACATAAATGGTCATGTAGGGAAATGAGGGATGGGGGGTATAGACATGCCTGGAAGAGGAGAGCGCTACGACACGCAAAGTGTCATAGGGGGCTGTGCGTGTGTATTGACTCCTTCTGCAATAGTCAGATTTTAAAGCAAGCTCAGAGACATAAGTGAATAAAAAAAGGAAATGTGCTACTTAATAAGCATTTTAAAATAGTTGATGGTAGCGGGGCCTCTATAAACTCTAAACTTAGAACAGTGAATGGTCCCCGCATGTCCAAAACATGTTCTCACTTGACAATTCCTTTCTAAAGAGCATCTGTCCTGTAGAGGTAAATATAATGCTGTGGAACTGTTGGGTGCAGGAGGTGGGTCTGTTTCTGATTGTAGTGCCCACAATGGAAGGTGCCAAGCCGGGCCGGATTTCCCACAAGGCCCGGCCTCGGGGCAAAAGGGGTGTGGAATTTCTATCGCCCGACACCCGGGACATTCGGTGCCGGGTGGGTAGTTTTTTTTTCTATATTTAGCCCTGCTTCAGGCAAGCAGGGCTAAATGTAGAGCAAGGAAGCTGCTGCTGGTTTTGTACAAGTGATCTCTAACCCTGACGCCCTTGCCATCTGGTTGCCATTCTCCTTTAAGGGGGAGAGGGTATGGCGTGTATCGGGGCGCATTGAGGAACCTGGCCTTGGGGCAGCAGAGAGTAAATCCGGCCCTGGTGCCAAGCACAACCAGTAAGAAAGAGTAGAAAGTCACCAGCACCCCAAACCGTCTTTTCCAAAATGTATTACGGTATCACTAAGTTGCTCTGAGCATGGAGACCTTGCAAGGCTGTGAAATGTTGTCATTTTGACCTTATTTGACAATATGGGGTGTACCTATAAAAAAATACAAACGAAAGTTGCAAAGCCATCCATCCTGTGAAACTGCATGTACATTTGTTCTGTGCGAATGGAGGCAAATACAAATGTTATTTTTGTGCCAGGTCAAATGTAATTAATTTATAAGATTACAGTGGTTCCGCATTGTGGCCACTAGATCCCGCATTGTGGCCACTAGATGGAGATGGACGGATCTTAGAAAATACATACTTATTACCTGTGGTCCTTGGAGCCATCTAGTGGCCATAATGTGTATTTTTCTGATTCACTAATCTTCTGAATGAAATACATTTGACCTGGAAAGAAAATATACTAAAACAACATTTAGCAAATTCTTTTATACCTGCACTCCTATGTGTTCGTAATAAATGTTGCAAATACATGTTTGCAGCGCTGGTGGCTTTCTACTCTTTACTTTTGAAAATTCAAAGCACTGCCATAGGTGACACCAAACTCTCCTACAGCCTAATTGCCATACAGCTGCCATAAATCTAGTCAGTGTGGCTCAGCTGTACAAGAATGGGGATGATCTAATATAGCCGACAGAGCTGAACTTGTATAAGAAGAGCAGCTTAAGGCCTCATTCACACGAGAAAAGGGCGGCACGTACAGCTCCGTGCTGCGTGGAGGGCCGTATCGGGCAGCTCCCGGGAAGGACAGGTGCTGCGTGTGATTAGTACGCAGCCCCTGTCCTTCTCTATGGGACTACGCGGCTGTACGCCACCCTACGCTCACCCGCCCTGCACGTCTGTTGCGGGTGTCCGTACTTGTACGCTGACGGGATGGATCCTGTCTGCGTACGAGCCGGGACACCCGCACCCGTACGGACCTGCACTTGAGGTGAGCGTAGGGCGGCGTATGGCCGTGTACTCCAATAGAGAAGGACGGGGGCTGCGTACTAATCACACGCAGCACCTGTCCTTCCCGGGAGCTGCCCGATACGTCCGCGTATGCAGCACCGAGCTGTACGTGCCGGCTCTTAGCAGTGTGAATGAGGCCTTAAGCTCAAATATGGGCTGGCCCAGGAAAATAAAAGGGGAGTTATTTGTCAAGCTGGAATGTCACATGTCCATAGAATGAATACATATGTATGTTATGACCACCTTATATACCAAAGGTAGCTATACTACAGCCCTCCAGCTGTGATGAAACTACAAATCTCCCCATGCACCTGCCCCTGACAGTCATGCCTGTGGCTGTCAGAGTCATGCAATGCCTCATGGGAGTTTCCTCAACAGCTGAAGGGCCGAAGTTTGGCTTCCCCTGTTATATAGGGATCAGTGGGGAGCTCCCTGGCCTTCTGTTATATGGTAAGGGAACTTCTCAATGATCAATTCTTGATATTCTCAAGTAAACAGTACAAATGGCTATAACCGTGATCACCGTGATAAGACGCACCAATGTTGGTTTAATTTTTATTCAAAGGGTTATAGAAAGCTTCGAATATTAGTAGAGAACTGTGGACGAGTTAACTATGGAACCAGAATAAATGATCAGCGTAAAGGTATCCATATATTATTGTATTATTAACATTTGGGGGGCAAGGAATATATCCAATAATTAACTCAATTGACTTTTTATGTTGTGATTCACGGCCGCCCCCTCGACCAAAAAATGACCTCTGCAAAACACAAGGGACTTGTCAGGAACACTGCACACAGCAGATGGCGTCTGCGCATGCGTGCGAGCACGGCGTGACCCGCAGTGTCGGCCCGGGCCGTGCACTTTCGCGTAGACGTCCGTGCGTGCGCGCAGCACGTCGCGTGCGCGCAGCACGTCACGTGCGCGCATCTGCGACGTGTTGTGGCGCCAAACGGGCTATTTAAACTCAGCTCCTCCATGTCTCCAGTGCTGAGTACTCTTTCAGCTTGTGCCTAGTATCCTGTGTCTGTTCCTTGGTTTATTAGTTGTTGGTTTTGACTCCGGCTTGCTCCTGACTCCGCTGACCTTCTGGTATCCTGATCCTGGCTTGTCTAGACGATTCCCCTGCTCCCTGCCTGTTCCTGCATTGCCCGCTTGTTACCAAACCCGGCCTGTGACCCGACCACGAGATTGCCTTATGCCATACAACCTCTCTGCCCGCACGTTGCTGATCCGGTCTGCCTGACTCCGTTTACTCTCTGTCTGCCTCCCTGCTGTGCGTTTATATTATTCCTCACGGCAAGAGACCGTACGAGTTACCCTCTGGTACCGAAGTCCTCATCCAGGCACTCGTGCCCCGCTGTGCCCCAGACTACCTGTCTTCTCTACCAGGCTTTCTGGGACCAGAGTTGCAAGAGAGGGGCCGCCCTCGTCATCTCAAGCTCCATCTGGTACGTGACAGGACTGTGCGCCTCATCAGATGTGACTGGGGGGGAAATGCTGCAACTTTGTAACCTTGTTTTATATAATATGCGCTGGCGGAACTACCAGGGTTACAACGGTCGCATGTGTGACCAGGTCCTGGCGTTCAACCACTTGGGAGGGGCCCAGAAAAAAAGAAGAAGGCCCGGCCCCATTAACCGCTGAGGTGGGGACATTGCCTCTTGGGACAACACACATGCACTACCCTGGTAACCGCAGAGGAGGTGACATTTTTTGATGGAGGGGATGGGGGGGCCTTCATGGTTTCTTGCACCGGGGCCCTGAGGTTCAAGTTACACCTCTAACAATATACACTCTGCGGGGAGGAGGGAAAGGGAAAAAGGGGGGAAATCTGTACTTGGTTCTTCCATTGATGATTTCCATTGCAGCGTGGTAATAAAAGGAGGTGGAGCAACATGAACAGGGGTGAGGGACATAGCAATCATGTGAACATGTTATAACTGGAGAGGCGCACTCCCTTTGTGTAACTTCTTGTCCAGCCCGAAAACTACCAGTACGCTTTAGCGTATCTGTCACAAAGCTGAATACCTGTATGAGAAGCATCGCATGGAAACTGCCTTCCTGCTTCGAAGTTCCGCGTCACGCATGTCTTATTGAAGCTGAGTAGGTTCAGCTTCTTTGCACCAGCATATTTTTTATTGCTTGGTAACAGGTTCCCTTTAAATGCACTTGTGCATGTTAACCCTTCAGCGGCACTGTCTTGCTCTTGAGGTCGAGACTATATGAGCAATTCTTTAGTCCAGTAAACCGCCAGATTTCCAGCAGTTATTGCCGTATGTGGCAACTAAATGAGGCCACTAATGAGGGTGGATTACGCTCATGTGATCACTCGGTGGCATCAGTTATGAATCCAGTTGTGGTCAATCAGAGCTACCAGCAATTATCAAAAATACAGATTAAAGAGGCTCTGGCATCTCATAACTTGTCTGTGCAATCATGTGAAGGAACACGTCAACCAAGCTCACTGGCTCTGGCGAGGCAGCTCACACGCAGCTAGGATTTCCTCAATGGGTGGTGGCTCAAAGCATACAAATACAGAAAGGAGCGCCGGACCACGCGGATGAGATTGTCCAAAATAATGTTGTTGATAAATTGGACATATAAAAAGATTCAACGCATTTCGAGGGGAACCCAGTCCCCCTTCATTACGGATCAACACAGCTTTAAACTAGGGATGCACTGATACCAGTTTTTCGTTATCGAGTACAAATACCAATTTTTTTTTCTCCGGTACTCGCTGATACCAAATAACGATACCGGAAGTCCCACTGCTTAGCCGGGAAGCCGGGCAATGTGTAATGACTCGCCGCCTGGCTTCCCAAATAGCCGGGAAGCCGTTTCCATGCTCGCTCGTCACCAGGTGATATGGAAGCATGGAGCCGGCTTTCTGGCCAGTCAGGAAGCCAGGATGGGCGGGTAATGACTCGCTGCCCAGCTTCCTGATTGGCCAGCTTCTCGACCAATCAGGAAGCCAGGGGGCGAGTCATTACATGCTGCCAAGCTTCCTGACTGGCCAGGAAGCCGGCAGGTGACGAGGAAGCATGGAGCCAGCTTTCTGGCCAAACAGGAAGCCAGGAGGCAGGTAATCACTCACTGCCCGGCTTCCTTATTGGCCAGCTTCCCGACCAATCAGAAAGCTGGGCGGTGAGTCATTACCCACCCTCCTGGCTCCATGATTGGCCAGAAAGCCAGCTCCTTGCTCCCTGGTGATGAGGGAGCATGGAGCCAACTTCCCAGCCAATCAGGAAGCCAGGCAGCGTGTAATGACTCGCTGCTCAGCTTCCTGATACCGGAAGTTCCAGCATCGGATGCATTTGGGTGAGTATGAGTACTCGTCCAAATACTCGGTATTGGCACTGATACTAGTATCGGTATCGGTGCATCCCTGGTTAAAACTTGAATGTACTTGTGGAGTGATGGTTTAATGGTTGCTGAGTGGTTGCTGTTATATTATTACTCCACAAGGAGAGTTTCATTTCAGACCTAATACAGATCTGTGCGGTTACTGTGTCTTCTGAGTCCATTCAAGTTTTATCCCGTGTTGAGCCCTGATGAAGGAGGAGTTGTTTGCCCCTGAAATGTGTTGGCTGGTTTTATATGACCAGTTTATCAACAACTACAATGATATTGTCCCCTTAACCCTTTTGGCCTGGTGTTCCATTCTGTATTTCTATGGTACAAACAATTTTCAAACACCTTTCATAGCAGTGCATGACGATGACTAAGTGTCTATCACTTATGGGAAAGTTTGTGAGGATTCTGAGGGCTGTGTTCGATGTCGCTGAACATCATCCATGTGTTTGGGCCTCAGGTGGTCCTCATACTATCTTGTTTCCTCTGTCTCAGGTCTGGTCGGTGATGTGTATCTCAGGGAAGTTCCTCTCAGGAATTTCAAGATCTACAGCCTGGACATGAACTCAACTTTCATAAACAGGTAAGCGTCCTTCCTTTTACCGATCAATAAAGTTTGATATGTGTCACGGGGTGACACCGCGAGATGAAACATTCAAATGTGAAAAGGAGCTGCCATAGACTAAATAATAGCATGCGATGTCAAGCCGCAGTTTCTAAAGCCAGCAAAATACTTTCTTGTATTAGAAGAGGTCTAGACTCCAGAGATGGAGACGTCATCCTGCCCCTGTACAAAGCATTAATAAGACCTCATCTGTCTCCATCCTCCCTTGTATTATACAGGGTATAGACTCCAAAGAGAGATACATCTTCCTGCACCTGTTCCAAGCATTAGTAAGACCTCATCTGGAATATACAGTTCAGTTTTGGGCACCAGTTCACAAAAAGGATGTTAAGGGGGGACATGATCACAATGTATAAATACATAAGTGGTTCATATAAAGAGCTTGGTGCCAAATGATTCACTTTAAGATCACTGCAAAGGACAAGGGGGCACACTTTGCATCTGGAGGAAAAGAGGTTTAAGCTTTGCATACGGAAGGGATTCTTCGCAGTTCGAGCTGTGAAAATGTGGAATAGACTCCCCCAGGAGATAGTTCTAGCGAGCTCAGTTAACTGTTTTAAAAAAAAAATGCGCAGAGTATTACTGGATATTGAGTTCTTATCGGTATATTAAGCATCAGAGATTGTTGATCCCCGGAATATCTGATTGCCTTATGGGATCAGAAAGGAATTTCCCCCCCCTGTTGGAGCAAATTGAACCGTGCTTTATAGGGGGTTTTTGCCTTCCTCTGGAACAACAATGTGGGAATAGCGTTCTGTTTTAGATTTGTCGGGTTTTTTTTTCATATCTCTATAGGTTGACGATGGACTTGTGTCTTTTTTCAACCTGACTAACTATGTAACTATGTATGTGCTTGGGAAGGTTTCCTTTCCTCCTCCTCAGTGTATGTAACCCTTAACAATGAACTTCTCTCATGTGCTGCCTTTTTGGTCTATTAAATTCCCCATTGAAGGCATTTTGTTTTATCTATTCTACAAATGCAAAAAAAACTACAGAGATCCAGTGAATGTGCAACTTCCTGTGCTCTCTGAAGCAGTGCTATCCGCTCTACCTTGATCTCTCTTTGGACTTCAGCATACCTCTCATCTCTGTTATGATCAGAAGAGGAGGAGGCGTTCAGTAGTGCTGCCCTAGGGTGACACTACTACTCCTACTCCTTGCTACTCCTCCATTTTTATTTTTTTTTACATAACTGGGTTTTAGTCTTTCTAGAATGACACAGATGTTATGCCATTAAGTTGTTGTTTTTTGTGGAGTTCTCCTTTAAACCCTTGTGTCCTTGTTAAGTCTGAACAGTGTCCAATGGTCCGATGTGAGCGAGGAGAAGACGAGCCCGTTGTTCTTTGAAGGGTTTTTACAAATCAGTTTCTCTCCACTGGACACTTACCTGAGCATGAAGGTAAGTCCCAATAATTATGTATTTCAGTGCTTCATGTGTGCTGGGGGTGCTTTTCAGTGTGAGCCAGCCTGACACAGAGACCTCCTCTCCTCACCCAATTGGACTAACACTGGATACACGCATCAATTTTCGGTTCACAATTAATAGGAAATATTGAGCATTTTTGTGATTTTTTTTTTTTTCTGGACGGATATGTTTTCTCGGCTCTACAACAGGATCCTCGTTAAGATCTTTTTCGTGTTCAGCTGACTTTTATTTCTCATTTTCTATAGAGATCAGAGAATTATAAATGTGCTCAGGTAGGCCATGCACCGAGCTAAAAGTCTTCAATCTGTCCCATTGTTTCCTGTCTGCTGCAACCTAAAGAAGAGTAATGCCCACGTGTGCGCTCGTTTTTTTGAGAGATAAATATTTAAGCACTCTGGAAAAATCACAAACTTACCCTGACACATATCCTTTAAATCATCGGTTCTCAACTTGTGTAACCTCAGGACCCACATTTGTCCTCGGTCATTAAGTTGTGACCCAAGTCGCACTGCAATGGAACGCATGGTATTCGGGTATCTTGTGTTCTGGGGCCGACAAGTGAACGATAGGTGGGAAGTGCCATTCAAATGAAACGCAACATACCTCCCACACCAAAACGTGTAGTAAGTGTGATTGCGTGGTGCAGTGCATTAGTCGCACGGAACTGTACGATTATTTCACTGTACTAGTGTGAACGGGCCCTCAAAAACATCGACAGACACACACAACCACAGACACAATCTCACACACTTACAGACGTTCGCGCACACACATACACTTTTTTATAAGATCCTCCCAGTCTCTCTACCTTGGATCCTCAGCCTGGGGTCCAGTGTGGGCTGCTGTGCTGTGACGGAGCTCCATCCATATGTGCATTGCTTGTACAACCCCTTGTGTGACCTGTAGAGGTGCCGGGAGCCAGAATGTGACGTCACTCCGGTTCAGGCACCTCTACAGGACATGCGAGGAAGCTGTAAGCAATGGAGGTATGGATGGAGCTCCCTCGCGGCCATAGCTCCAGCCCACCCCGCCTCAAGCTGACACTCTGAAAATGGTCCCTGACATCTACAGGGGCCTCAAAAATGAAGGCCCCCTGTAGATGTCAGGGACCACATTTGAGGCCCCCATTAGATGTCAGGGACCACATTTGAGGCCCCCTGTAGATGTCAGGGACCACATTTGAGGCCCCCTGTAGATGTCAGGGACCACATTTGAGGCCACCCGTAGATGTCGGGGACCACATTTGAGGCCCCCCGTAGATGTCAGGGACCACATTTGAGGCCCCCTGTAGATGTCAGGGACCACATTTGGGGCCCCCCTGTATCTAGTAAGTTGCCCACCACTGTTCTTTACTGACTCTTTGTCCATGTCTTCTTTTCTGTCCTGTGCTGGTCTCAGGGCTGGAAGAAGGGAGCGGTGTTTGTGAACGGGAAGAACCTGGGTCGGTACTGGAAGATTGGACCTCAAGAGACCCTTTATGTCCCTGGAACCTGGCTCTGGCCAGGAGTAAATAAGGTGAGCTCATTATCCATTGCCTCCTGCTGCCCATTACACAATCTGATTCTCCAGTAACCTCATTTGTTCCTGCAGATCACTATCTTTGAAGAAGAAGAGGCTGGAAGTTCTCTATACTCTGTGGACGCTCCCACCCTTGGGAGAGTCCAGTATGTGGACTAGCCAGATGCAGAGAGGCGGCAGTGACACATCTGGAACCGGCAAGCACAACCCAACTCACCAGTGTCATGGCTCTAGGCGGTTAGAAGTGTAGAGGTTGTGATTGTATGGGTCTTTCTTGGCACCGGCGTTGGTCCTCACCGTTCACTACAGTTAAAAGCCAGGAATGTTCCGGAATTCTCGGAAGGTGTCCTTATACTTACTTTCTTTTCTGTGGAATTAATGGACACCGATGGTCCGATTTTCTAAGGCAAATAGGCATCTCGGTTTAACTTCTGAACCAAACAAATCCTTCCGAACGTGAAACGGCTCAATCCTTCCAAAGGCTTCCCTTCTTGTTGAAGCTCCAAATACTTCATGTAGAATTTACCTCAGGTGCCCACGGACTGTTCTTGTTTATAAAATGTTATTTTTAATGTATTTTTTAAACTGTTGATATGGATAATATTGATTGGAATTGTTAATGTTAAAACAAGGGTCTTCCTTTTTGCTAATTTTATATGAAATAAATAAACTGTTCTGTTTTGTGATGTTTATTTTAAAATGGATCTGCGGTTGTGAATTCTTCAGGAAGCCTCTGTAACAAGATATCTGGCTTGGCCAAACTGCACCATTCTCAACTTGTATGGTTGAGAACGGGTTGGTTAAATCACCATTTGGCATCTCGCGGAGATCCTCATTGGTGAGATTTCCCAGAAGTAGCTTGTGTCTCCACTAGGGATGCACCGATAACGCTATTTTGAGCACGAGTAGCGATCATTTTTTTTCCAGTACTCGCCGATACCAAATACCGAGTACCGGAAGTCCCATTCAGGAAGCCAGGTGGCGTGTAAAGACTCGCCACCCGGCTTCCCGATTAACAAGAAAGCCGTCCCAGCCTGTCCCCTCTCACCTCGGTATGTCCAGCTTGTCACCCCTGGGGACTCTCCAGCCAGAAACGGTCTTCCTCCGGTACCCAGCCGGAGCCGTCTTGCTGGCCAATCATGGGAGCCGGGCGCCGTGTAATGACGCGGCGCCCTGCTTTCTGATTGGCCGGGAGGCCGGCTCCATGCTCCCTCGTCATGAGATGACGAGGGAGCATGAAGCCAGAATGCCGGGCGCTGCGTCTTTACACGGCGCCCGGCTTCCTGATTGGCCAGCTTCCCGACCAATCAGGAAGCCTGGCAGCGCGTCATTACACACTACCCGGCTTCCTGATGAGATGACGAGGGAGCATGAAGTCGGCTTCCCGGCCAATCAGAATGCCGGGCGCTGCGTCTTTACACGGCGCCCGGCTTCCTGATTGGCCAGCTTCCCGACCAATCAGGAAGCCTGGCAGCGCGTCATTACACACTACCCGGCTTCCTGATGAGATGACGAGGGAGCATGAAGTCGGCTTCCCGGCCAATCAGGAAACCGGGCAGCGTGAAATGACGCGCTGCCCGGCTTCCTGATACAGGAAGTACTCGTGTTAGGCATTGGGGCGAGTACTCGCCCAAATACTCGGTATCGATACCGATACTAGTATCGGTATCGGTGCATCCCTAGTCTCCATCCCTCCATTCAGGCTTTAGGAAAGGTGACTGTGTCGGGGGGGGGGACGCCTGTAGGCGTTGTACATGAAGGTTTTAGTATGTGATGGAGCAGTGCGTACAGCAAGTATTTGCAAAGCATTCAGCAAGTTTTGTTGAAGTCTTTTTAGCACCATTTAGCTCCAGTCTGGTATTGTTCAAGCCGGGAATAAAGAAATAAGAATCCATCGGCTATGATAGATGACATCATGCAAGAGAGGGGAAAAAAAATCACATTTCTAAAAAAGGACGAGACATTTTATCAAATATTTATCACGGTTCTGATGTGCATGCAGACAGGGATATGTAGAAAGTACTCAGCCCAAATTCTCCAATACTACTCCTATACCAGAACTTCCGGTCCTCTGACCGGCAGTGCTGTGGGAGAACGTGGAGCCGGCTTCCCAGCCAATCTGGAAGCTGGGCGGCGGGTAATGACTCGTGCCCGGCTTCCTAATTGGACGGGAAGCCGGCTCCACGCTGTTTGGCCGGCTCCATGCTCATTGACTGGGAAGCTGGCTTTCCTACCACAAAGCATCTTGCCGGCCAAACAGTTTTGAGCTGGGCAATCAAGAAGCTGGGTGTCGGATAATGACACGCCGCCTGGTTTCCTGATTGGCCGGAAAGCTGGCTCCATGCTAGCGGAAGTATCGGTGAGTAACGAAAGATAAATATCAGTACTCGATATCGGAAAACCGGCACCAGTGCATCCCTATGGATATATAAACGTACTTATTGAAGATGCCTATAGCATGTAGTTCCTCAATACACCGACACAATTTTACTCAGCCCAGTGAAGATGTACTTCCTTGTATCAGCACTCTCACAGAGCCGGCCTTCTGAACAATGTAACATCATCACTTGCTGGAAGCAATGCATGATGGGTTTTGTAGTCTAGAGATGGAGATTGCATCACATCAAGCAGCAGGGAAAGAGATGCAAAGCACACTGGGAGTCCAGGAAATTGTCGGAAGTGATGGGCAGATGGAAGGCCGCACTCACTACATAAAAGGGATCTTTTTGGAGTAAGCTTTGATTGTATTATCAGATACAACTCCAGTATATGTATTCCTATTACAATGCTGATGTCATAACAGGAGAGGATGTGATGGGGCTTTACAAGTCATTTAAAGTAACAGCACTCATAGTAAGATCTGTGTTTACTCTCGGCAAACAAGCTGAAGGAGGCTCCATAGCAGGGGTGCCCACAATTTTATGTGTTAATGTGATCTACTTTTCAAATGACGAGCTTTGTGAGATCTACCAACAAAAAAACCTCCCTCGCTGTCTCTCTCTCCTGGCTGTCTCTCCTTCCTCATCCACCTGGCTGTCTCTCCTTCCTCATCCACCTGGCTGTCTCTCCTTCCTCATCCTCCTGGCTGTCTCTCCTTCCTCATCCTCCTGGCTGTCTCTCCTTCCTCATCCTCCTGGCTGTCTCTCCTGGCTCATCCTCCTGGCTGTCTCTCCTCTCCTGGCCGTCTCTCTCCCCTGGCTGTCTCTCCTGGCTCATCCTCCTGTCTGTCTCTCCTGGCTGTCTTTCCTCTCTCTCTCCTGGCTGTCATTTCTTGTTTTCTCTCCTGGCTGTCTCTCTTCACTCTCTTGGCCGTCTCTCCTTGCTCTCTCCCCTGGCTGTCTCGCCTCTCTCTTTCCTGGCTGTCTCTCATTACTCTCTCCCCTGGCTGTCTCTCCTCTCCCCTGGCTGTCTCTCCTCTCTCCTGTCTGTCTCTCCCCGCTCTCTCTCCTGGCTCACCTTGCTGTATTTTGCACCAGGCTGTGTAAACTAATATTCTTTGATGTAATACATTGCACTTCAACCACCAGTATCCACCAGAAAGGTGTCGGGAAGCTCCGCTCAGCAGACTCAGGCTAATAGGTAATCATGTGTGCACAGCTAAATAAATATACCAACATGGAATAAAGGGGCCGCCATTCCCCCCCTTCCTGATCTACCAGCATCAGCTTTGAGAGCTACTGCTAGATCACCATCTACCTAATGGGCACCCCTGATCTAGAGCATATCGCGCAATCTTTATTAAGTCATGTACCATCCTAAGGGAATCCGGAACTGTAATGTGTAACAATTCAAGCCTTGTACAACCTGAGACTTCAGTTTGACAACAGCTGGTCAACCATCAATTACGAAGCCATTTCAAGAAATGATCTACAAGAGTCTTTTAACCACTTGCTGACCGGGGTGTTTCACCTCCTTCCTGGCCAGGCAATTTTTCAGTATTCAGCGCTGCGG